AAGATGATCGTACGTGGTCTTCTTTCTAAGTCTTCAACTGCCCTGAAATTCAGCTGACTGAAGAATTGTCTCTAATATCCTGCCAGCTGAACCATCACCCCTTTGCTTCTGCTGTCTTTGAAGCCATGTGATAATAACTAGCTTTGTGTCAGATCGACAGATATGTTGCTGTTACTATATTAGCCAGAGCGTCTGTTGTTTGAAGTCCCATTTACTGCATTCCAGCTGGCGCTCAGGAGTTCACTTAGGCATGTTTAATTTTCTCGCTAGGTTTCAACTGCTGTTTTTCTTTATTAACCCAGGGAATGATACCAAGCTTTTCCAGGATGATTGACATCAGTCAGGAAGAATGTTGGTTATTGGAACTCCGTTTGCTAATGAAGTCATCTTTGTAAGCAAACAAGTGGAAAGACTTTGGCTTTGATGTATTTGCTGAGGACAGTTTCTTTCAGGCTGCTGCTAGGGAAGGGATATGAGTCCTTAGCAAGTGCATAAAATTTCTTCTTTTGTAGATTGATTGATCCCTATCCAAAGCTTGGGCTTTCTTCTCTTTTTTCAGACCCTAGACTGGCAAAACCAAACACATGACAGCCTCCCCAGCCCAATAAAAAATTGATTGTGCTTATCAACTTGTAGAAATCTTGTCAGATGTCCTTGTCTGAAGGACTTGATTCTTATTGTGATATGCTGTGCCAAAACATACGCTCATTTTTTCATACTTCGGGTAACAGCATCCATCATTTCATCACATTGTTGCAATGTGTTGTTCTCTCATTCTCCTCCTCAAGGCTCTATATAAGAAATTATTTTATGATCTGTTTAACAAATCTATGACAAGAAAGTTGAACAATTCTAGTAATACAAAAGGTCTGGATCATAGTTTTATCACCCTATATCCACCTGTAAGGTCCTGTCTGATGCTTAAAATAAGATAATATATTACAGGTTAAATTAAATACTCATTTTTGGCAATTTTAAACAAAGGAAATCCTAAAATAACCTGACTTCTAGAGTAATTCAGGGGGGTTTTCTCATTTTTTAATTGAATAACTATGTGTTAAGCAGATTAATCAAAAATACAAAACTTTAGGAAGAGTTACAAAGCAGTAGTGCATTTCATGATTCCTTGGTGACTTTCCTGAATGGATGATGACTTTGGTTTGATTCTTTCATTAGCACTATGATACTGATGGTTGGTATTATATGTATCCATATTTAATACTAGTGTTACATTACTTTGTTGTTAAGCTGCACTTATCCTTTTATGGCTTCCTGCCACACTGTAGTATGCTTCTTTAGTACTTTCTCTGTCAAAACTCCTAAAAAAAAAAAGTCTTATTGGCCAGTTGACTTGCTGCAGCCCTTACTAAAACAGGGAACTCTGTCTCAGTTATCTCCTTCCACTGACTGTAAGTAGTGTGTAGATGGCTACTCTTGAGTATATGCCTCACAGCAAAACTGAACTGGATCCTTCTTTGGAATCAGGAAAAACAGGGAATAAAAGGTAGAGGTGAGTACTCTCAGAAAACACGTTAACAGAATTGCTGCTTAGGAGTTCACCTCTCTAGGTGAACGAGGTATATCAGAGTGCATTTTCGTTCGTTTGCTAGTACTCAGAGACATTACTTTATTTGAGTGCCTGCAAGGGCAGAAGAGCAAGGTCAGTGTTTATGGTATCTTTGCGGCTTTTGAGCAGCCATCCTTCCCTGGCTGATAGGCATGTACTGCTAGTCAATAAAGCTGGTGAGGTTTTTATAGTAACTTAGAAGATCACTTGTCGCTGCTTGGAAGAAAATTTCTGTCATAGGCTAAGTGAAATATCCTAGTTCATGTGGATTCAATGGAAAGAGGGACATGACTTCACAATGTTCATGTTGAGTAAGAGTAACTCTTATTATGTTACATAACTTGCAGATGCCAAAAAGGTGATTTGTTTGGAGTGATGATTTACCTTCTTAAGTCTAGAGGCAGCAGCAGCAGCTTGTATTCAGGGCTCTTAGTGTCATTAAGACTTTGAGATATACAGTGATAAGTGACATCTTGTGGAGCTGGGTAATGTCTCTCCTCCATTTCCTTGCTCTTTTCATTTTTTTTTTATCCATCATTTACCTCTTCTTGATTGTAGACAAGTTGCTCTTAAATTTTTTTTAATTCAGTTTTGTATCTTCATATCTCTTAAAGGAGATCTGCTTATTGCACAACTGGTTCTTCCTGTGACTAGGTAAATTTTGTAACCATTTAAAGTTATGATGTTCCTAAGAAAGAAATTGATAAATATAACCAATTACACCTCTTGGTCCAATGATGGAAGTTCAACTGCAATGTTTAACTTTGAGTTCTTGCACAGTAATTCTTATTCCAGTCTCTAGGAGGCTGCTTAAGGTGACATTTTCTGTATAATAGTATTTTTTAGGTTTTCAGGTTAAATTAACTCTTTACAGTATGTGTAAATTAGTGTCACAGGAAACATTTGATCTTGGAACTTCAGTTTATTCTTTGCTACATTGAACAGTCCTAATCTTATGTTATCTTCTAATCCTTACAAGCTATTAAGATAGGTCTCGTATAGAGGGAGACATCTCTAAATGGAATAATTCTGAATGATTTTACCAAATTATCTAATAATTATTTACTACATTCTTCCTACACAATCTATGAGGTAGGTTAAATATGCTTCCTTCAGGTTCAAAATGTATAAGCACTGTCTGATTTGCTGGCACAGTGAAAGGAAAATTGACATCATGGATCACTAAACTAGGATAGAAAATGGAGACTCCACCTTGGATATTTTAATTACGTGTTTTCCTTTCCCTTGACATTTGTTCCACTGAACCCTGCACATGTGGAAGAGTTATAGGGGAAAGTCCATGCCTCTCTCATTGTGGGCAGTCCATGAGATTGTCCAGAGGAAATAAATCTGCATTCCTATTAGCGATAGGTAATTTTTACATTTCAGTGCACTTGCAATACAGAATCTGTTTAATTCAGTCATCTTAATTCCTTAATTCCTTTTGGCATCAGTTGGTATACAGCAGTTTGTACAAGAATTTAGGACTCATTGTAGTAACCTGGTGAAATAGCCAACAATAAAACTGTGTTTCTTCCCTTTAAATTTAAAACTTCCTGCTGTGAACAAATTCAGGTTTAGAGCTTTCTAACAGCTATAGAACAATTATTTACTTAGTTATCATAGATGCTGTATTTGCATAAAATGTGGTGCTTCAGCTTATAAAGATTTTTTTTTTCATCTATGCAATAGTAGGAAACACTATGTTTAGCATCTAATCTTTTAATACATTTAATAGTATAACCTTTGTATACAGCACAGTAAGAAATATTCAGTAAGGATGCAGTAAGGATGTGTTCTTTTCTGTTTTCCATGCAATTTATCTGAAAGATACAAAATTTTTTAACCAATTTTTTACACCCTAGTGATTTACTAGGTAAACATATTGAATTCCTTACTAATACAATAAAAAATGTATTCATGTCTGTATTGTCTAAAGACCAATGATTATCTTGTTAGACTAATGTACTCTATAACTGCATGTAAAAATAGAAAAGGACCAAGGCACTGAATAAATACAGGGTTATGGCAAAATCCTGGTAGGGATTCTGTTACTTGATAGTGGTTGCCTTTAAAAAAGAAATCAGTTGCCTTACTGTGTGGATTCGTTTTTGGAGGTGATTGAAAGATTTTTCAACCGTTATTTCGTTTAGGATATGGGAATGGTTGTTACTGTTGGAGATTGTTTAAATTTAAATGATGTTTTGTGGTTGTATGTGTGTGGTAGTGTTCACAAGGTTTTATCCCTGCCTGAAAATAGGTTAGTCTTCTGATTTTGTGTCCAGCATTGAGTAAATGAATATTTATGGCTTTATAATAACAGAGGGTTAAAGAAATCACAGAATCACAAAATAACTGAGCTTGTAAGGGACTTATGGAGGTCATCTGGTCCAACATCCCTGCTCAAGCAGGGCTAGTTGGCCACGACCATGTCCAGATGGCTTTTGAACATCCCCAAGGATGGAGACAGATATGTAACGCTTTCGAAACAGAATTTAAAAATTGGCTTTTGTTCATAATTTATCCTTACCATAAATTTTACTTATATTTAGCAGATATCAGAATCTTAATTGCCAGTTTTCCCAACATCAAATTAGATACCACAGATACAGCCTCTAGGATGTAGAAAGTTTTTGCTCGTTTTTGGGCTCATCTGGACTGATGATGTTTTTAAGTCTTGACCAAGTTCATTCATTATCACATTCATCTCTGCATGTACTATTAGCATATCTAGAAAAAAAAAAAAAAGGACAGTACAGATTTATGTGGTTACATTGATATTCTTTATTTGTGTTTGTTGTCTACAATTATAATGAAATATTTTGCTATAAAGTTTGGATTGCTTTGTGTAATTCAGCAAAAATAATGCTCATAATCCACGGACAAGCTAGTTGATTTTCGAGCACTTGTGGTTTATTTTTTTCTCTCCAATTTAATTTTGCAAAGCTTTTACATTAAATATTATAAGGTTTTATGTGTCAGAATAATTAGAATGTAATTATTCTGATAATGTTAATGAAAAAATTGTCATGAGCTATATTTTAATGTGCAAACTAATCTTTCAGTATTTTAAACAGTGGTCTACTTACATATGCAATTTATCACTAGACATTGATTTCTTATACCAATTTCTTTTTCTTCAAGAAGTACTATAATTCTTCAGTTGCCAACATAATACCTGTATTAATGTTTGAAATCTGGCATCAGCATGTTTCACAAGTGTCTGAGATATCTCAGGTACTTTGATTTTGAAGTGGTGATGGTGATTTTTCGATGAGGTTACTGTCCAAAAAACATACTAGATTGAAACTTGGTAAGCAGAAAAAATACTTAATGAAGAAATGCATGAAACTTTGGTCCAGGGAAGTTGTAGTGGAGTAATTCTGATTTTCTATTTTTTCTTTTTTTTTTCTTTTTTTTTTTTGAATTCTAGATTTATCCATAGCAGTGCAAAAATTTTCACAGTCTTTACAAGATTTTCAGTTTGAGTGTATTGGAGATGCTGAAACAGATGATGAAATTAATATTGGTAAGTACACTCTGTGTTCTGTTTGCAGTAACATTTTTATACTGCTTTTTTATATGTATAATATGTTATCATATGTATATATATGTTTATATGATATATATTATATAATATAATATAGTTTTATATATCTAATGTTATTTTATATATTTTTATATATAATATGTCATATATAATATGTTATCAGAAATATAGTGGAGCAGTTCACAGTTGCTTTTTAGTGGTGAATGTCACAAAAATAGAAAAAGCTCAGTAAGTAGAAATCATGCAAGTCTTTAAAAATACATGTCAAAAATTATGTGTTTATGACACAGCTTAGTTTATTGTAGAGGAAAGTATTCAACAGTACTTTTGTCAGCTGAGTCAACGTGAATCCTCTAAATTCTGGTGCTATTTTTGTGTTTTCAGGCAGTTTTCAGTGGGTTGCTAAAAGGTACACAAATTTCCTATGATGTAACATAAGGCTGCAAAAAAAAACCGCCTAAGTGCCTAATAAGACACAGGAAGTCTTTAAGGGTCCAAAAGAGGAGTACGTTCTTTACAACTTGTGCATTCCTAAGTATATAGTTGTCTGAACTTTTGCCAGTAAAATTTACTAGCTGCTTAATGTTCCTTCTCTGTGCACACACAGAAATTTTGCATTTGCAGAACTGAAGAGCATAACTTATCTTCAGCATAAGCCTCTTTACTGTCATCAAAATATTCTTCCCTCAACAGACTAATCCTGGAAACGTTTCCAGGGTTCAGAAATGCAGCCAGTCTTTACTGCAAGGCATTGCTGTGGTTGTAGTGATGCTTTTGGGTAGTAGCACAGCAGCTGGTGTGCTCTAACTTGCATTGGTAAGAAATTTGGATTATAATCCATTTTAAGAATGGCTAATTGCAGTGTCATGAATCTTACATACCACATGGCCCCCATGTGTCTCCCAAAACATCTGAGAGGAAGTAACATGATTCTTAAAGAGTAGTAGGCTTCTAAAAATAAATAATTTGGCAGTACAAGAGGGAACTTAGAGTTTGTTAGCATTTTTTTAAAAAAGTTCTATGTAATGCAGAGAAGAAACTTGGATTTAGCCTTTTTCAAATTGTATTGGATTTGGCTGAGATGGTGTTCATTTCCACATGGTAGCCCTCACAGTGCTGTACTTTGCATTGGTAGCTAGAAGGGTGTTGATAACACACCTCTGTTTTGGCTACTGCTGAGCACAGCACCAGTACTGTAACATTCCTTCCTCAACTGATGGCAACTGGGAGGGGACACAAGTAGGCCAGCTGACCCAAATTTACCAAGGGAATATTCCATACCACATGACTTCAACTCAGATATAAAAGCTAAGGCAAGGAGCAGGAAGGCAGGAATTCATTGCTCCAGTGGCTGCCTGCTGAGGAACTATTACATGTGCTGAAGCCCTGGAAGTGTCCGACCACTGCTGATCATGGAAAGTAGAGAATAAACCGTGTTATCTTTTGCTTTACTCTTGCATGCACAAGCTCTCCCCTGGCTTCTGCTTTAATAAACTGCCTTATCTGTACCCATGAGTTGTTTTCCATCTCACTCTCTCCCCTGTCTGTCTGGGAGTGATAGAGTAGCTGAGTGGCCACCTGGCATCCAGCCAAAGTCAATCCACCACATCAAGTATATCTCTTTTTATAATCTAATTTCAAGTCTCCTTTCCCATCAGTTTTTCCTTTTCCTGACTGAGCCATTGGATTCAAGGTCTGAGCTGGTTGTTTTCACCTGCAGGGTTTGCCTCATCCTCACCCTACAACATTGCCATAGTCAGAAGACTGTCATCACAGATGACTAGTATTTGGTCACTGTCTCACTGCCACCCACTAGCTTTTGGCAAGGTGGTGGGAGGGGAGGTTTGGTTTTACTGACATGTAAAACTAGGATAATGAAATCACTGAGCTGCTGCTACTCAGGTATAAAACTGCATACATTCTTGAAGTGCATCAAGCTTGGAAAGAGACAAAGAAATGGTGTATGTACTCTTTGGCATTCAACATATTATTTCTTGGCTGTTCAAGTTACATGGTACATATTTTTAAACTAAATCTGCAGTATCTCAGTTATATGTCATAGATTTGGTCAATAACTTGTTTAAAGAAATAAGGTTTTACATTTAAAATGAGGTGATTGAGGACAGTGACAACATTCATTTTATTTGTAACCTGAATGTAACAAAGAAAAGACATTTTTTTTGTTTGGACATTAAACAGACATTTAAAACTATTTAGGAAAAAAACAGAGTTCATGAAGTTTGACAGCTGATTTATTTCACTTGAAGCTTCAAAGAAGGGATTTCTAGCTTCTAAAGCACCACTGGCCTGATGGATTGTCATGTACATCAAAGAAGTTTGTAAGAGTAAAAGGTAAACTGACAGAAATCAAATTCAAGTCTAACAGAGCTTTTATAGGGTAAGGCTCAATTTTTGATCTCCCTAGAGCAGTGACCTAGAATTTATCCATACTTTTAACATGCCCCAACAAGCTAGATGTTTGCTTATCATCAAAGACAGCTTTGTATAGGTGAATCCTTCTCTGTACCTCCTTCTGCCTTTACCTCCTTTTTTAAAAGAATGTCTTCAACTGAACAGGCCTCTGGGAAGTTCACTGGGAAGTGCAATGATATTCTGACTCAATAAATTTTGTAATAAAACACCGTATACATAGTGGGTTAATATAGGGGCTACTTGGTATTTCAAGCTTAGCATTGAAAATACACTCGTATCCACCTTACCATTGGAAATTCATCCACTGAATAAGATTTTTGTCAGGATGGGATTATTTAAAAGAAAAGTTTCACCTTTTTTTCAGAATTATATATATAATATGTTATATTATAATAATAATTTCAGAATTAAATATAAGTGATTTAAGTGGATTTTTTTCTTTTCTTTTTTTTTCCTTACCAGTAATAAATTTTTGTAACCGATTTGATAGTTCCATTAGCTTATTTTGGGGCAATACTAGAGCTTGAGGTCTCTGTTTAGTAACTAAACACAAGTTTTTTTCTTTTTTTTTTCCCCAACCTGAGATCTAATAGCAGCAGTTTTATTTGCATTTCCTGTAATCTGTGCCTTTTTAGTTGCTCTCTCAATACAACTCATCTATTCCAATAAGCCCTTTACACAGAATACATGAGAAGTAGTTTTATTTAAGCTTCATGACACACTCCATGTAAACAAAATTATGGTGGTGTTCTTCATATTTATTTTAATCCATCTGTTCCTGAATCCAGTGATCTATTTTTTTTGGTTTATTTCCTATATTTTAATTCTAATTTTGATGATTTCTTACTTTTTATTTACAAATGTTTAATTCTTCCATAGAAGTATTCTTCTTTGACAAAAAAAATCTGTGTGGCTATATAATGCAGTTTAGGTAGTCTTTCTATATTGTTGCAAGTTATCCAGATTTATCTACATAGCCACTTTCAGATATACCATACCCAGTTTAGCATCATTTTATGCATGAATTGGAAGCAATTCCTCTGACTTTCTTGGGTAAGCAGGCTGGCTTGTTCTTGGGTTTTTGGTTTTGTTTTGTTTTTGGTTTTTTTTTAGCTTTGAACATCAAAGGATTTATACTATAACAAGCTTTTTCAGTTTTTCAGCTTTTTGCCAGCACATTTGGTTTGAGAAACAGTGCTCACCAGCTCTACTAGCTCTTCTCATTAAAAAATAAACCAGCTAGCAACAATTGCTAGTGTTGTTTCTTTCTCTGTTTTGGAATGCATGTGGAAGCATGTGATCTGTAGAAATGCAAAGGCCACACTGTTTGATAGCAGATCATGGTTATTAGCTCCAGTTGCATGTGATTTAGCCAAGCTATAACTGTTTTTTGTGCCTTTGAAAAGTTTTGCCGAAGTAACAACTTCAAAGCAAAAATAACATGATGAATGACAGTGAATCATTAATACTGAAGATTGGATCTAACTTTCTCTGAGAAGAGGATGCTGCTTCCCTCACCTAACAACTGTGCTTTCCTCAGACTGAAACACCAAGACTTGATAACACTTTGCCATTTGCTCTTTTTAGACTCATCACCCTCTGTGCACTTACCCTAAGCCCCCCTTGCAAACAATATTTTGCACAAAAAATTAAATACTTCAGATTGACAGTGAATGTCAAGGAGGTCAGTCATTTGTCATGCCCAGTGAGGGTTCTGTGTAAAAGAGACAAATGTTTTTTTCATGTTTCAAACCTTATAGGTTACTTGGAATGTTACACAGATGGGATGGGTGCAAAAACTGTGTTTTTAATGATCATGTGTCTTTTTCTTCAGTATAAATTTTGCAGGAATAAATTTTACAAGGAGAAGGTTTGCCCAGCTCCTCTTCAGTATTATCCAACTTGTGTCACCTGAATTGTTCCCCAGGAAACTCCTTGTTTTGATCCTCTTTTATTCTGTTTGTGTTATCTGGATTGTGGCTGCTAGAGATGAAAACAATAAATATTATTAACTCAGTGGAATTCTCGCTTGTACCTTTAACAAGTTTGTTTCTATTTTGTAGCATAGCTAATTATATATCAGTGAGATCTAATATTAGCATTATAAGACCACGTTCAGAATCAAAAGCAGACAAGGCAGACACACACATTCTGATATTCTGACATTTTGTTTTAGTATCTGTTTTTTATTAGCATATGCTGTTTAGGAAAAAGGACTGAAAGGCACATGTAATTCATTCTGTCACTGCTGTTTTTGAATTTTTTTTTCCCCGTCAAGAGAATATATTATGACGGATGTTTCAGGTAGCATCAGATGTTTAATTTAAGAATGTAATAGTATTATGACAATCTATGAAATCATTATTAATTAAACCACAAGGAATAGGTCAAAAGTTCTAAAACGTTATCTTTTCTTGTGGGAACTGAATTCTTCTCTTACTGCTAGCAATTGTGGCTCATGTGATCTTTGCTGACTCACACCTCAGGTTGTTCATGGGTTTGTTAAATTGCTAGCAGCTAACCATCTACAGAACTGCTAGCTCATA